AAGAAAATAATTATGGATGTTTCCAAATATTTATTGTCTAGAATTTTTGTCAAATTTTTTAAAATTATAAAAAAACCCAGAGAGACCCAGTAAATATATATATATATATATATTTTAAGATTTTATTTATTTATTTGAGAGAGAATGAGATAGAGAGAGAGAGCATGAGACAGAGGAGGGTCAGAGGGAGAAGTAGACTCCCTGCCGAGTAGGGAGCCTGATGCGGGACTCGATCCTGGGACTCCAGGATCATGACCTGAGCCGAAGGCAGTCGCTTAACCAACTGAGCCACCCAGGCGCCCAGACCCAGTAAATATTTAAGAATAGAAGATAGGTTAAATAAAACATTTATAAGATGGAATGATTTATAAACATTAAAATAATAATGTAGGCTATTATTTGATAACATTGGAAAATATTCTTATAAACATATGTAATATTTTAAAAATTGGCTTATAGGGGTGGCTGGGTCGCTCATTCGTTAAGTGTCTGCTTTCAGCTCAGGTCATGATCCCAGGGTCCTGGGATCGAGCCCCGCATCGGGCTCCCTGCTCAGCAGGAAGCCTGCTTCTCCCTCTCCCACTCCCCCTGCTTGTGTTCCCTCTCTCACTGTGTCTCTCTGTGTCAAATAAATAAGATCTTAAAAAAAAATTGGATTATAAAATAAATTTTATTAGTGTTTTATTTACTCATAAGGTTAAAAACTTATTATAAGGAAAAAAACAGCATTCATCTGTTTCTCTCTTTCTAGACGCGATCACTTTCCTCTCTTTTTGCTGTTACTTCTGTCAGTTTTCTTGAGATTTCTAAACATTATGTCTATACTGCTGTTTCTTGCTTTTTCAGTTTTAGACATTATTTACTATCTTCCCACTATAGGAGATGAGAATTTAGCACCCCCTTTTCCTTACAATATAAATTTCTCCTCTCATCATCTTATATCATGACTGTTGTTGAAATCAACATTTAATATTTATGTTTTTACAATTGTGTTTCCAGTTAAGCCACAGTATACTGTGATTACATTTTTTTTGGACAACTTGTTTTTTCCCTTGTAGTTCGTAGTTGCTTCAGGTTTTCCACTTGTTTATTTTTAATGTACTCTGGTAGGCAGAATTTGAAGATGGCTGCCAAGATTTCTGTCCCTGGTGGACATGCCCCATATAATCCTCTCCCTTTGAGTCTTTGCAGGACCTCTGAAGATGATGAGATATCTCTCCTGTGATTATGTTACCTTATATGGCAAAAAGAACTTTGCAGATGTAATTAAGATTCCTAATTAGTTGATTGTGGCTTAATATAAGGGAGATCATCTTGGGTGGGTCTGACCTAATCATATCAGCTCTTAAAAGCAAAATGAAGCAGCAGCAGAAATTCTGCTGGCCTGGAGGAAAAAAGCAAACAGCCAAGTTCTGAAATGGTAATGGAGAGGGTGGCTCCTAGGAGCTGCAGGCCTCAGTCCTTCAACCAGAAGGAACAGAGTTCTGCCAACAACCTGAATGAGGTTGGAAAAGGACTCCAAGTCTTAGGTGAGATTACAGAATGGACTCTGTTTTCTCAGAATTCCTTTTTTAACTTATTCTTTTCCTTTGGTCTGACTGGCATGTCTGATATCTGATGATATGTGTAGTTATATTTAAGGGTGAGGTACATAAATGCTGACGGAATGCCTGTGTGCCTGGGTAGGGCTTTACAAATGTTGGCTTTTCCCATTTGATTGGCATCAGTGGTAACTGGGGATGGGTCATTTCACTGAGGACTCATCAAATCTGTTACCTAAGGACTGTGTCTTAATCCTCTGTTTTCAATATGGTCCTCACCCCTGCCCCCCAATAGTGACTGCTGTCTCTGAGTACAAATCCTCTCAAACCCTCTCTCTTCTGAAAGTCAGTTTCTTGTTTTTTGCTGCAATGGGGGCCTGGCTGAAGGGTGGGGATCTCAAAAGGTAACTGTTTCTTCAGTAAAATTTCAAGAACTCTTCCCATTTGGTCCTAGCCAGAAGCACCCACCCCCTCCATTTCAGAGGTATGTGATGTATCCAATCCCTGAGTTATTTCAGAGTTCTGTGGCACACATTGGCTTGCTTCTTACTGGCTTCTGCCTGCAAAGCTTAGATTTCAACGTTCTCAGATCTGCTCCAATAGTCACCACTCAGCCATGTGTTTTGTCAGTTTCCAGCATTGGTTGACATCTCTTATCTGCCCCCATTTCCTCTTCGCTATGCTTCAACTTTGTGGGTTCACATTTTATATTTCCTTAGTGCCATTTTAGAGGGGCTTGGTGGGAAGCAGATATAAAAGCATGTGTTCAAGCTGCCATGCTGTTTTTAAATCCTGTTTTTTTTTTTTAAAGATTTTATTTATTTATTTGACAGAGAGAGACACAGCGACAGAGGGAACACAAGCAGAGGGAGTGGGGGAGGGAGAAGCAGGCTTCCCGCAGAGCAGGGAGCCCGATGCAGGGCTCGATCCCAGGACCCCGGGATCATGACCTGAGCCGAAGGCAGACGCTTAACGACTGAGCCACCCAGGCGCCCCTAAATCCTGTTTTTTAAAGCAGAAAGTATGTGTATATTTGTGGGTAAAAAAATATCTATGCCAGACTTGTTAAGAGAAGTCATCTCTGTGTGTCAAGATTATGTGTAGTTTCTATTTTCTTATGTTTCTCAAAGTCTATGATAAGATAACTTAGTAACTAGAAAACAATTATCCAAGTAAAATGGTATTATTATATAGATGTATCAGTCAAGGCATTTTATATTAGTTTCAAATCCAAGAATTAGGTTGAGCCATATGAAATTGCTGTTTTTGGTTTTTTTTTTTCAGGTAAAACAGAGGTTGAGTATCAGCATTTTCATGTGGTTCTATCTAAAATATCCAATATAATACAATAAAAAAAGAAAATAGAATATTTTTATAAAGATCTCATAAATAAAAAAAAAATATATATATAATACAGATCTCAGAGGAGAGACAGACTAGAAAGTGGAGTGGCTGTCTAGAGAGGCCAGACTGAAAGCCAAGAGAGTGTACACCATTTTTTATGGTGAGGGGACCCTCTCTTGGGGCTGGCCATCACATGTGCTATTCCCTAAGAGCTGTACTCTCCTGGGCCCCCAGGTTGAGGAGACTCATGAGCTAACCTGCTAACCTAGTTTTCAGGAGCTCATGGTTTGGGATGTAACTGACAAGAAACAAACACTATTATTTCCTACTTTTCTCCCTTATTGGTACTTCCAAAACACTTTGTACACTCTGTATTAGAGTTCTCTGGGCCGATGCCTTTTTCTCCCTCTTAGATTGTTAAATTCTTTGAAGGCAGGGATCCTCATTTTGTTGATATTATGGACTATTTGGGGAAACACTGTTCACTGTATCACTCAGTGTTTTCTTCATAAAGATTCATGGGAAAAATTTCTCCCAGGCAAATGGCATGTTTTTATTTTAGGAACACAGTGTAATTATGCCAGATTTGATCCCCCCTCTTTGGAAGAGAAAGCTCAGAGCCACACTTACGCCTTGGTTCTAAGCCGTGCCTTCTTGAAATCACTTGGATGGATGTGTTGTGGTCTTTGTATTAGTTTCTTATTGTTGCTGAAACAAAGTACCACAGACTTAGTGTCTTCATACATCACAAATTGATCTTCTAGTTCTGGAGGTCCAAAGTCTTAAATCAGTTTCATTGGGCTAAAATCCAGGTGGTGGCAGATGTTCCTTCCAGAAGCTCTAGGGGAGAATCCATTTCCTTGTCTTTCCATCTTTTGGGGGCTTCTTACATTCCTCGGCTTGTGACTCCTTCCTCCATTTTCAAAGCCAGCAGTGTAGCATCTTCTCTCTTCTCTGACAGCTGCTCTCCTTCCTTACACCTCTGTTTGACTCTGATCCTTTTGCTCCTTCATATAAAGACCTCTGTGATTACATTGGGCTCTCCCTGATAATTCTGGATAATCTCCCCATCTCCAGATCCTTAATTTAGTCACATATGCAGAGTGCCCTCCCACTCCCTGCGCTTAATAGATTTTAGTTTTTAGAGCAGTTTTAATTTTACAGCAATATTGAGCTGAAGGTATACAAATTTCCCATATACCTTCTGCCCCCTGCTCTGCTATCAACATCCTGCACCAGAATGGTAAATTTGTTATAACTGATGAACTACATTGACACATTATCATTACCCTAAGTCCAGGGCTTCCTTGCTTTCTTCTTTTCAAAGCAAAGTTTATTTATTTTTATTAATTTTTAAAAAATTTAAAAAAAGATTTTATTTGACAGAGAGCACAAGCAGGGGGAGCGGCAGAGGGAGAGGGAGAAGCAGGCTCCCCACTGAGCAGGAAGTCTGACTAGGGGCTCGATCTCAAGACCCTGAGATACTGACCTGAGCCTCGATCCCAAGACCCTGAGATCATGACCTGAGCTGAAGGCAGATGCTTAACCGACTGAGCTCCCCCAGGCTCCTCCCAGGGTTTTCATTAGGGTTCTTTCTTGGTGTTATACATTCTGTGGTTTTGGACAAATGTATAATGACATGTATCCATTGTTATGGTATCTTATGGAGTGTTTTCTCTACCTTAAAAATCCTCTCTGTTCTACCTATTCATCCCTCTTTCTCCCCAACCCCTGTCCACTACCAGTCTTTTCACCATCTCCATAGTTTTGCCTTTTCTAAAATGTCACAGGCTCTAGTATGTAGCCTTTTCAAATGGGCTTCTTTCACTTAATAGTATGAATGTAAGGTTTTTCCATGTCTTTTCATATTTGATAGCTCATTTCTTTTTTGTGTTGAATAATATTCCATTGGCTGGATGTACCACTGTTTATCCATTCACCTATTAAAAAACATCTTGGTGGCTTCCAACTTTTGGCAATTATGAATAAAGCTGCTAAAAACCTCTGTGTGTAGGTTTTGTATGGACATAAATTTTCAACAACTTTGGATAAACACCAAGGAAAGTGATTGCTGGATCATACAGTAAGAGTATATTTAGTTTTTTTTTTTTTTTAAAGATTTATTTATTTATTTTTTAGAGACAGCGTGAGTGGGGGTGGGGGGAGGGGCAGGGAGAGAATCTCAAGCAGGCTCCCCGCTGAGCATGGAGCCCAACGTCAACACGGGGCTCGATCCTATGAAGCTGAGATCACGACCTGAGCCAAAACCAAGAGCAGGAAGCTTAACCCACTGAGCCACCCAGGCACCTCTGCCCTGAGTGCATTTTAAGTATTATCTTTACCCTAACTTTATCTTATCATTTTTGCTTTTATTTTTCCTTTCGTTTTGATCCTCTTTTAGTTGTATTGAGAGAAAAACTCATAACCCCCAGGATCTACTCCGGGTTGGGAAGGTAGAGCTAGCTACCTCTGTCCTTTCGCTCACCTCCCCAATTTGTACTGTGTGTCATGGTAAGAGAAGCATTTTCCACTGGTAGTATATTACTAGGGCATGTGGGCATTCACCCCAGAATGCCAGATAGGTCATGGACTGTCTAATAGAAAAGCCAGGGAGCCCTTCTGGATCCTTCTGGATCAAAGCTGCTCTGCATCGTAATGTCAACAGCTTATTTTCAGTCACTGAGGGCAGAGTGCCTCCGTAGAGAGAGAGTAATACGGTGCTAAATGAATTTTTTTGTCCCTCTGGCGAGGGCTGGACAAAAACAAATTGGGGCTTTGAGTTCTAAGGGAGGCAGGACAAGGTTCAGAGCCCTTCTGTTTGCTGGAGGTGCTGAGGGCCCTTGGAATGAGCAGGGTGTGTGTGTGCATAGGATCCCTCAGGAGGGAGAGGAGCAGGAGGGGGTGCCCGGGGAGAAAGGAGACCTTAGCTCTTTCCTTCCCTCTGGACCTTGACCCTTGAGTGGGTGGTGCACAGAGCATCTTCCTTTACTCTCTGGTACAACTGTCATATTCCTGGCACAGTGCCTTTGGCCTTCCATGTATGCTATTCTATCTGGGGCTAGTAGATAGCTGCGGGATTTGGGTTCTCGACTGTGTCTGGAAAGCCTGCTTTGGCATCAAGTTCCAATCCTCCCCAGGACTTCTTTTCCTATAGGTGCCACATGCCACGATTTATACACAAACATGATTTGCCTGATTGTTGCAGTCTGGGCCTGGAACAATTTTAATTAATGGGAAAATGGTCCTCAAAACAGTGATTAGACCTCTTCAGGTACAACAAGATAAAAGCCTGATAATTTGGATGGAGTACTCTTCTTAAATGTCTATTCTATGCACAGCAGCCAATGGGAAAGCCAGGCTCTCTCTCACCTGATCCAATGAGTAATTAAGAGAGGGCTTTTTCTTCCTACCTCTCCCCTCCCTCCCCCTCCCCACTAAAGCTTAACAGGTTGGTGGTATAATTTGGAGACTTTAAGGGGTGTCATGCTAGGAGCTTAGGCAAGAGCCAGGGCATCTTCTCTCCAGCTCTCCAGTCACTGCCCAGCTGGGTTTGCAAAGCAGGCAAGTGAGAGGAGGAAGGAGGTGGTAGCAGGCGAGATAGGTGACACTTCTCAACCAAGTTTGAGAGGGGCCTATGGCCATGAGCGAGCTGGGCACCCAGAAGGGCAGCGATGGTACTGTTTCTCGCCTGCTAAACGTGGTAGAAAGTGAGCTGCAGGCAGGGAGGGAGAAAGGCGACCCTACGGAGAAGCAACTTCAGATCATCCTGGAGGATGCCCCTCTCTGGCAGAGATTCAAGGAAGTCACTAACGAAATGATCGTGACCAAGAATGGCAGGTGAGTTTCTCCGCGGTCCTGCTTGGGCTGGGAGGGGCTCGGCAAGGGTGGTGAGTCCCCTGAATATCGAAGAGGCTGCCCTTCTTCACTCAGAGGCAGTGGGGGCTGATTAAAATGCTCAGGAGAAGGACAGTCTCACTCGGCTCTCCCCCAGCCAACTTAATTAATTTCCCGAGATCAACAGAGAAGTAGAGGACGAAGCCACCTTGCATGCATTTTCAACGGAGAAATTCTGGGAAGGTACCAGAAGTGGGGGCCTGCCCTATGCATTAGGGAAATTAGTCCGAAGAGAATATTACTTTTTGACTAACTGCCTATCTTGGGGCAGACCTGAGCTCCAACTCAGTTCAGATAAGGTGAAAGTCAACTTTATTTGGAAGCTGAATGTTTCCTCTTAAGTATAGCAAACTTGCCAGAAATTCTGGACCAGCTGAAGATCGGGAGCCAAAGGGCAAATGTAATCTCATTGCTAATTGCTCGCTACCTCTGCTTCCTGGTGTGGATTTGTGGTGAGTGTTCATTTGATATTGTGTATGTTTGTGATGACGTGAGAGCCGTGGAAGTGATAATACCATCCTGAAGCCGTAATGCACTGCCTGAGAAAAGAGAAGATACCTTCCTTTTTCTCACTGCAGCAAATTAGAGATGAACAGAAACTGATCTCTGTTGGCATTTCTTGGATTCTATTAAATCCAGCCCTGCTAAGTGGCTGTCAGAGGTAACTGTGGGAGCTTTCATTAGTAAAGGAAACGCAAGTATTTGGAAAGAAAATCTCTCTGCTCCCAGCTTGGCCAGACTGGCTCCCAACATTCAGTTGATGCTCACAGATCCTTTGCTTCACAAGGTCAAGAAGCACAAAAGTCAGAAGACATTTTCAGTATGGTTAGTTTCAACAGGACTCTGATCGTGGCCCTTAGGAGAAATTCTGCTAAGGGAGAAAAGTTGAGGCCAACGGGACTTCTGGCAGGCTTTTGTCCTTGTGCAAAATGCTTCCTTTCCCAATGTCTTGCTTTCCTATTTTTGAATAAAATGCACACTATAGAAAACGAACCATCCCTTGTCTCTCTGGGAGAATTAAGAACGCCAACGCTGCTGCATGGCATTAAAGTGTTCTGTAAGGGGAAGGTGTGCCAGAAATAAGGGCATTTCAATAAATTGTGATCACTCCTAGTAGAAAGAATATTAATCTTGCTTGGAATACCAATGAAACAAGCTTGATATTTCTATTTGCTGTCTCTAAATGGGTCCCCTACTTATTTCATATATAGGATTTGTTACTTTTAATATTTGCAGTTGTAACGACCTCCGTTCCTACTCTTGATCTGTATTTATCCATTATTTTTGGTAGAAAGAAATAGAAAATCCGTTTTTAATTTCAAAGGATCACCCCTAAATTTCTAGCTGGATTTACTTTCTTTCCTTTCACAGATGAACGATGATGCGATTGTAAAAGTTTTGTGATGTCCAGTAATAGGTGGAACTGTTTATTATTCCTTGTACTCAGTGGGTAGTGGTTGTGCTAATATTTAGCCTCATGCTATCTATTTGGCTGTCAAAGGGGCCATCTATGAAAGTAAAATAAGCACAGTCACCAAGTAAAAATACAGTTTATCTATTCCTATGGGGAAGAAATTACAGTTTCTGAAACCATCTCAGATTTAGTTTAATAATATGATATATTGGCATGTACTTTTACAATTTAGGAAGAGCTTCCTCTTGCCTGTGTTCACCTATATGATATTTTTCTGCATATTTAAAATGTAAAATCCTTCCCATGTTTAATGTCCTTTAATATTAAATATGTGAAAAATATTCTTTGTAGAAAAGTCTCATTACAATCAACTTGGTTATTCTTATCTCTGGAGGTCCTGCTGCCCTTTCCCATTTTCCAGTGAACTGAATCTTCTCTTGGGTTCTCTTATGGTCTCTGAACCCCTTAGGGTCAAGATTTTGCCAGGAGAGAGACAGTTCCCTTTACACTTCAGATAGAGAAGGGAAGACACACGTCTAAGAAATTGATGTGTTGGTAATGAACGAGCTTGGCCTGGAATTACTCTCAGTCTTTTATTTTCACAGATTAAATTGTTAGCAACACCTTATTGTTCTTGATACAGAAAGATCTTGTTTCCTGTCCCCTCTTCTCTTATCCATCTGTTCCTGTGAATCTCCCTTGTACCCCCTGTCCTCTGCCTGCAGACACAGCCCGTCTCCTCCGGATGCTTCACCCCTGCCTTTCACACCAACTCCTGAGCCCGGGGAACTTGCCCCTGTGGCTGTTCTCTGTGGAGAAGATGATTTCTGTTATTTTACACCCAGCTCCAGCCCTTTTCATTCATATAACCTGCCAGCCCCTGTGGGTAGACTTCTGGATTTCTAGAAGCATTAGTGGGGTCATCAGATAGTTCCTGTCCATTATAAGAGTCTTAACTCTAGGAAACAAACCGAGGGTTGCTGGAGGGGAGGTGGGTAGGGGGATGGGGTAACTGGGCGCTGGGCATTAAGGAGGGCACATGATGTGATGAGCACTGGGTGTTCTATGCAACTGATGAATCACAGAATTCTACCTCTGAAACTAATAATACACTCTATTTAATTAACTGATTTTAAATAAAATTAAAAAAGAGAAAGTTTTGAAGTAACATAGGATGGACTGATGAAAGAATTCAGTCTCATTTTCAAACAGAGACCCATTTGTATATATAAACAGGAGGCTTGCCTCTGACATGGATCAGAAGTAGAGGGTTTTCCTCTGGATTACCCCCAGAAACTGGGATCCTGACGACCTTCATTCCTCCCTCCGTCTCTCCTGCCTCCCTCTCTCTCCCTGCTTTTCTTCCCCTGCTTTTTTCCTTCCCTCTTTTTAAATATAACTTTTAGTTTTCCATACTCAGTTGTCTTTCAGATATAACAACAATTATGATACCTCTTTACTAGAACATCTTCACTTTAGGGGACAATGCTATATTTCATATATATTTCCATGCAGTTGAATAATTTTGACTCAGTTCTGATTAGATTTGCCTTGAACAGGTTTTCAGAAATTGGAAGCATTTCGAATGTAACTGGTGCGTCCATTTGTTGTCAGGAAATAAGTATTGGGAATCATTAAGTTGAATTTGCCAGTGATTCAGGGCAGCAAGCTGACGTGAGGACCGTGCAGGAGGGGAGAAAATGGAGGTTGTGCATCAGGCAAATAAATTTCTGTGCCCTGTAGGCCACAGACATTTTTCTCCCAAGTTTACAATTACGATTCATGAGGATCGTGTGTGTTTGTGTAATCTGCTTCTAACCAGGTCACGCGAGCTTCAATATACACATGCGCATATGAGCCAAACACACACACACACCCACCCCCCCACACACACACTCCAAAGCTCCGATGAGCATTTCATGAATATTATAGCTCTGTGAGGAGATAGAGGAAGGTGTTTACAGGTGCGAGTGAATTTTATCTTTAACCATCTCTGCTATTCCCCCACCTACAAAAGCTGCCCCCTTTCTTCCTGCAAACCTCACTCCTCATAGCCTCCTTCAGCAGCACTGGCTCTCGAGATCACCTGTTAGGAAAACAGAAACTGAGAAACTGACCTCCTGGCAAAGGCACGTGGAGCTCATGGGCAAAGCCAAACCACCTGTGGTTCTTCAGCATGGTTTGGGGGAGTGCTTGTTCATCCTGCCACGTTTGCTTTCCTGTTCCTTCTCCCTCTCTCTCTCTTTTTCTCTCCTTTTCCCCCAACTCCTGAATTAGGGACCAATTTACATGTTTCTCAGCTCTTCTAAGACTCTGGGGCTTCTCTGTGGTTAGCCAGACCTTGGAAAGAAAAGGAGGAAAGGTTAACTGGGTTAGAAGTGCAGTTCATCCTGGACAACAAAGCCTGGGCGTGCATGCTGCCCACAGGTAAATACATAGAGTATCCCCAGACGATGCATCCTGCTCATTGTGAAGTGGAAAGAGAGGCGGAGGTGAGGTGCAGGAGCTGAACTTGGCCTAGAGTTAGGATGAGTTCCAGTCCCGGTTACAAGATTTGTGGCAAGGTGACTGACTTATTTATTCCTCCTCGGGATAACGGAGGTTAAAAAATACATAGCATCTCTTAGTTCATTCGTGTGGTGATAAAAGAATAAAAGCATTTTTAAAATAAGTTTTTTTTATTTGAGTATATTGACATGGTGTTGCATTATTTTCGACATAGTGATTTGGCAAGTTTATACATTATGCTATGCTTACCACAAGTGTAGCTGTTTAACAAAATACAAATAATTATAAGTCTTGGCAGATGAAGACTAAAGAGAATAAAGCAATAAGCCATTATGTAACTTTTCACAAAGGTTTTTTTTTTTCCCCCTTTAAGTAGACTCCACACCCAGCATGGAGCCCAGTGCAGGGCTTGAACTCACAACCCCGAGATCAAGACCTGAGCTGAGATCAAGAGCCAGACACTTAACCAACTGAGCCACCCAGCTGCCCTGTAACTTTTTAGCCAGGGCACTATGACTTCTTTACTTTTTCTTTCTTTACTTTTAAAAAAGAGCTTTATTGTGATCATTCACATACCATACAATTCACCCACTGAAAGTGTACAATTCAGTGGTTTTTGGTATATTCACAGAGTTATACATATATTCCCTCAAATAATTTTTGAACATTTTCATTACCCCCCAAAGAAATCCTGCATCTCTAGCCATCACCCCCATAGTACCCCATCCTACTCAGCCCTGGCAACCACTAATCTTCTTTCAATCTGTATGGATTTGCCTACTTTGCACATTTTGTATGAATGGAATCATACAATATGTAATTGGCTTCTTTCACTTAGCGTAATGTCTTCAAGGTTCATCCATGTTGTAGCATTTTTTCTTGCCAAGTCATATTCCCCTGTATACATGGGCCCTATTTTTTTTATCCATTCATTAGTTGCTGGGCATGTGGGCTGTGTCTGCTTTCTTTGCTATTAGGAATAATGCTGCTATGAACATTCGGATACAAGTTTTTGTGTAAATGTGTGTTTTCATGTCTCTTGCATATATGTCTAGGGACGGAATTGCTGGATCATATGGCAGCAGGGTCTTTAACTGGTGGAGGAACGACCAGACTGTTTTCCAAAGTGGTTCCACCATTTTACATCCCCACCAGCAATGTACAAGGGTTCCAGTTTCTCTACCTCCTCAACACTTGTCATTGTCCACTTTTTAATCACAGTCATCCTAGTGAATGGGGAGATGATCCCTCCCTGCACTTTTGATTTGCATTTCTCTGCTGGCTGATGATGTTGAGAACCTTTTCATGTGGTCATGGGTTCTTTAGAACATCAGGTATAGCTCCTGAACATAGCAGGAAAGGAGAAAAGCCATTACACAGTCCCTTATTCTGGAATTAAAGGTCATGCTACATTCTTTGTGAGACCTAGCGTGATATAGTTAGGAGGGAGAGCAGAAATGAAAATTAGATCCCCCCTCCTCATTTTGCCTTAGTCACACTGGTTTTCTCTTTCCTCAGTAGTCCTCAATGGTCCAGGCTTATAGGACCCCAGGGCCATTTACTTGCTATTCCTTTTGTGTGTAGTTGCATTTATAGAAGTCATTTCTGGTGTCTATAGGACTCATTGCCTCTCCTTATTTGGGTCTTAGCTTACTGTCCCCCTGGACCTACTAATATCCATCTAGAGTAGTTTCTCACTCTTAATTTCCCTATGTGACATCACCTCCTTTTGTTCCTTCATAGCACTCTTGCAGTTGAAAATTATCTCCTATATTTAAAAAAAGAAGCCTGTTTACATTTTTTGTTGCCTGACTTCTGGTGTTTCAAGGTAAGCTTCATGAACAAGACACTGGGTCCGTATTTTTTTTTTTTTTTTTACCAGTGAACCCTCACCTCGGACAGTTCCTGCCATAGAGCAGGCGCTCAAAAGTCATTCTTTCAATGAGTGAATAAACCTCTAATTAGGTATTGAGATTTGGGAAAACATTGAGGGGACTTTTCCCTTCTTTGTGACCCATATTTATTTTCTAGAAAAATCAAAAAGGAGAGACACCGTGTTCTACACCTGAAACTAATGTAACATTGTGTGTCAGCTATACTGCAATTTTTTTTAAAAGATTTTATTTATTTATTTGACAGAGAGAGACACAGCAAGAGAGGGAACACAAGCAGGGGGAGTGGGAGAGGGAGAAGCAGGCTTCCCGTGGAGCAGGGAGCCCGATGCGGGGCTCGATCCCAGGACCCTGAGATCATGACCTGAGCCAAAGGCAGCCACTCAACCGACTGAGGCACCCAGGCACCCCTCATTCCTGTGTGTTCTTAAAACAAAACCAAACCAGACATCTTTAGCATTTCAGAAAAAGCAATGGACCGGATATCAGATAATCTGTGTACCTCACAGAAACAAGCCAGGCTCTTGACAGTGACCCAGTGTGGCCCCTGGGATCATTTCTGATGTCCACTTCGGTGATTCTTGGCAAATGGCATTTGTGCCTTTCAGGGGGCTTCTGCTTTCTATACTTGGCCAATATTATTAAAATAATTGAAAATGTTAAAATGTGTTGTGGAAGGGAATAGTTTCCTCTGATATGAAGAGAAAAGAATAGATGAAATCCTTCTGTTGAAGAAAAAGCAAAAGAATATGCAAGTGGACAAATTTCGATGCCACAGGTAGCTCCCGAGGGAAGGACCATCATTTTCCTTTACATGAAAGTTATCATCATGTCATTAAGGGACAGGAGTGACGAGGTGAGTCACTCAGCGCTCAGGCAGGACCTGGACTCGAGATGCATCATCTGATGCAGGTTTTCCCCTAGGAGTTTCATTTAATTCATATACTTGTCCTAACCTCCTATTTAGATTTTCTCTCCTTGAGCCCACCAAGACTGAGGGAGGGGAGAGAGAGCTCTGCTGGGAGCCGAGGGAGGGAGGGAGCCTTCAGCATTTCCCACGCATAATCCCAAGGCCAGGGTCTCCTTTTTTTTTTTTTTTTTTTTTTAAGATTTTATTTATTTATTTTTGAGAGAGAGCGAGAGAAAGAACGAGCTGGGTGGGGAGAGGGGCAGAGGGAGAAACAGACTCGCTGCTGAGCAGGGAGCCCGATGCGGGACTCGATCCCAGGACCCTGGGATCCTGACCCAAGCTGAAGGCAGACACTTAACCGACTGAGCCACCCAGGCGCCCCAAGGCCAGGGTCTCCTTGCAAATGACTGTGAGCCAGCTGGAGAATAAAAGCTGAGATGGTATAAGTTATTGATTTGCTCTGTTTTTTAAAAATAATTCATATGCCATCAAATTCACCCTTCGTAAGTATACAGTTCAGTAGATTTTAGAATGGTCACAAAGTTGTGCAACCATCACCACTATCTAATTCCAGAACATTTGCATCACCCTTAAAAAGAAACCCAAAGCCATTAGCAGTCACTCCCCTTTCTGCCTAGACTTCTCTCCAGAGAGAAAAGTGGAGGCAAGTGGTACCTGTCAGCCAGGCGGGAGAGAGGTGAAGCTGATGTCCTTCGTGTTTTCAGCTTCTGAAGTCACTGCCCCACGGTCGGATTTTGGAACAGAAGGAGAGCGGGGCCAGCTGAAGAGCTTGGTTGTGATGACAGGATAGCCAACACTTGCAAAGCCCTTGTTAGGTGGCAGGCATTAGAATAAGCACTTTGATGAAGTAGCTCATGGAGTTCTTGTCACAACTCAATGAGGCTGGGTAAGCAAGACCATGAGATGGAAGCTTGGAGGGCAGCTTCAGGAAGGGCAGGAGATGGAGCCAGAACCTTCACTCAAAATCACCCTTCTATCTGGCCTCTCAGAGGGACTGTCGAAACCTTGCCAAGTGCCGGACCAGAGACACGGACCAGAGACACGGACCAGGCTGTGTATTCTGCGCAAAGAGATGGGAAGTGGTCTCGAAGGCAGGGCGTTTAGAAAAGGGGACTGCGGGGTGTGGGTAAAAACAGAACCCCTCCATGCAGCGGGAGGACTAAGTTGGAAGAGGAGCCAGGAAAGGAAATATCAGTGAGGTGGGATGCGCCAAGGGAAAACGATTCCCATCTATGTCCAGATTGCTCAGGAAGCCCACGTAATTTCAGCTCAGCAGACCAGGAGCCTGCGTGGCTGGAGTCCGTCTCTAGGTCCGTCCCTTGTCATATCTGTCTGTCAGTTCCTTCATTTTCCATACGTATCAATTCCATTCTACCTCCTCTCAACGCTGGCCACCTCTGGCCATAGTAGGATGTCCTTGGTGACCTTCCAGATCCTCGTGTGCGCCCCTCCCTGCTTTCAACACCCCATTCCTGGCATCCGCAGACCCCTGCTCTCAGTAGCAGCCGGTCCAGTCCATCCCAGCTTCCCGCTCCGGCCACCTGCCCCGTTCTCCTCCCAGCCTCGTAGAGCACAGTCCTCTGACTCCCCCTGCCCTCACTTCCTCGCACATCTCCTGAGTTATTTTCTCAAAAGCTAAAGATGCTCTATACCAGCACATCTTAAGCTTTAATGTTCCTGTGACTCACCTGGGGATTTTGGAAAAGCACAGCTTCTGATTAAGTAGGTCTAGAGTGAGGTCTGAGGTTCGGCATTTCGAATGACCTTCCACCTGATCCCGATGCTGCTGGTTCAGGGACCGATTTGAGCAGCAAGTGTCTAGACTCTGGATTGTTAGCTTCTCATTTGGGGATTCAGATTTTAAAAGAGGTACTGACAAATAAGACAGTGTCTGGGGCAATCAGGTGGTGGTGGGGGGCATGTCTAGAAACCAGGTCTTTTAAGGATAACCTGGAGCAACTTAGTACATTTGGTGAAGGAAAAACAAACCAGCGGGAATGAGAAGCCAGGTGAGGGGCCTCTGCAAATATGTGAGAGCAAACTTGCTGGTACCGTTCTCAAGGATGGCAGCAGGACCGAAGAATCCAGGTCGGTGCGTCTTGAGCACAAATTCCCACAAAATGCTCAGTTTAGGGACGGTTCCACAGTCATGTAAGTTCAGTGTGTGCACAGACCCTATCTTCGCAGAGGTTTATAGGCACCTTAGCATATTAAAGGCTCTGAGAAGTCACGCAGGGAAGGAACTGGTCTAACTCTGTAGAGCCAAGCATTCCCTCACTTCCTTTACCCTGAAACCACGTTTTCACTGTTCATGCCATGACTGTCATTCCGAGCTGGTGTTCTCTCTGAGAGGGGGAAGGACTGGTTTGTGGCATTCGTGTGAAAACTGAGGCACCCCAGGGGGAAGTCTTTGAAGAAAGCTCTCTGTGGGAATGTGGCATCTGATTGAAGCACTTTGGGCTTTAGGTTCCTCTGTCAAATGACTACATCAGTGGTTTTCAGACTTTAAAATGGAGCACAATGGTTTGAAGTAAAAACCCCAATATAACATGCATTTGTAAAAAGAGGCTCTGTTGGGACTGGGGATGCTGCCCTGGGGCATTCTCTGCACCCTGAGGCGCTCCACGGCAGGTCTCCTGACAGCAGAGAGATGGCTGGACAAAGCGCAAGGTGTCCCGCACACGCTAACGTCCGTCCTGTGCCTCAGTTTCTGCCTTTTCTTTTAGACGGATGTTCCCCGTCCTCAAGATTAGTGTCACGGGGCTGGACCCCAATGCCATGTACTCCCTCCTGCTGGACTTTGTCCCCACGGACAGTCACCGCTGGAAGTACGTCAATGGGGAGTGGGTGCCCGCAGGCAAGCCAGAGGTCTCTGGCCACAGCTGCGTCTACATCCACCCGGACTCCCCCAACTTCGGGGCCCACTGGATGAAAGCTCCCATCTCCTTCAGCAAAGTCAAGCTGACGAACAAGCTCAACGGAGGTGGGCAGGTACGATCGGGTCGCCCGGCCACCCGGCCGCCCCGCAACACCAATCAAGAAATATCAAGGGTGCATTTAGGCAATTAGAGGGGTCCTCACCGGCCTCTTCTCCCACGGAAGCCAATTATTCCCTGGACTCCAAATGTGAACAGGAATAAACAGCTCTTAATTGGTGCTTTCGGTTTTTAATGGACTTCCTGATGTTAAGAGAGTGAGAGAGTGCTGCCGTTTACTTAATCATCAAGAGTCCTTTCATAGTTTTGTCTTGTGTGTGGTGCTTTTTACCCAGCCCTGGGGAGGAGATGTTTGTGGGTACCAGGGTTCTGTTTTTCTCTCTCCTCTTTTTTGGTGTAAGTGGCATGTTGGCAATAGACAAATGCCTTAATAAAAAGCTGCTCCTAAATGAAATAATTGCTGTCTCCGCTGGGACATTATGATAATTGTCAATAGAATAGTGAAGCGGCTTTGGGTTTTCAGAAAAACAAACAAACCTTAAATAAGGAAGGTTTTATTTAAGGTCTCCAATTAGAGGGAACAAGAATTCGGGGCTTTTTCCTCTTTTGTTTTCTCTGGGAGGGTTGTGAATACTAGGGTATCGGGTAGGGTTGTGATTTATGTTAGAAAATGTGGACGGTTTCGGGGGCAGCGCTGTGCCTGGGGGAGAGGTTTGCCGACCCCGCTGTTTCGTGTTGTGAGCCTCTCAGCCCTGGGTCTTTGTCCCTCCTCTGACCCCTGTGCTTAGCCTGCGGGGACCCGGGAGCTCAGGCTTTAGCAGGAGGAGGTGAGACACCCAAGTCCTGGCACTGTTCAGAAGGTTCCAGGTGTTTATTAAAACAGGAAATTGAAAAGTAAACGGTTCTTGCCTCCCCCGTTTCACAGCATAAGACTTGCAGTAAACCTCCGTGTGAGTCACAGAGAGTGGACGCAGTGTGACCGGCAGGTGTCCGATGTCATCACCCTTCAGGTAGTTGCTTGCGAAATGCAGCCATGCCAGTGTTTTGAGATCTCAGGTTTCCTCTTATGAAGAACAACAATATATCTTAATGGATCAAAATCTGCATCGTTGTTCTGAAAATAGGGAGAGAAAGGAAAAAAAAGGACGAAGGATTTGGGCAGAGAACTGACACTCTTTAGGAACAACTTTCTGGCAAGTCCGGCATAAGCGCTGATGTTAGGCTCCCTGGAAACTTCCGGAAAACTGCCCCCCTCTTCAGTTCTCAGGCGAGGGGAATGGTGTGGTGGCCCTGGCCAGGCGGGCCATCAAGCCGCACGCTCTGCAAGGCTTCTCTTTCTCTCCTTCTCCTGCTTCCACAGATAATGTTGAATTCTCTGCATAAATATGAGCCCCAGGTTCACATAGTGCGTGTTGGAGGTGCCCATCGAATGGTGATGAACTGCTCCTTCCCTGAAACCCAGTTCATAGCTGTGACGGCCTATCAGAACGAGGAGGTAAGTGTGCATGGGCGCGTGTGCAGAAATGCCCCCTGGAAGGGTGTGGGAGGATGGGGACCACGTGTGGATGAAAGCTGGGTTTCCAGGATCTCAGTGATCTCAGCAGAGATGAAGTTAAACAGTGGAGTAGCCCTTTCCACTCTCTCTTGCCTGTTTGCCAACGGCCTGCCAGAGCTTCATCTCTGGGTGCCAAGAAGGCGAGGTTGTGCATTGCATGGAAGCCAACAGAAGCCTAGGGGTCTTTGTTCTCAGGGCCCCGTGGGCCCTTGGCCCGCACAGAGCTGGGTGAGCTCCCGCTCCAGGAGCAAGTCTGTGAGACTTGAGCTGCGACTGCAGTCCTCTGGGTTGTGTTATGCTATCCGTCCTGTTTGCTAGATCTTCTGAGCACGCTTAGGTCTTTCCTGCCTGAAGGAAGGCACAGCCCTTAGAGCCGAGGAACCAGAGTCCGGCCTCTGTGGATTAGCTGCGGGCATGATGTTCGGGTCCATCTGCACACTCAAGAGCTTCCCAGGTCTGCTCGTCATCAGAAGTGCCAGGGGAGGGTTGGATTCTTTCTGACTAAACTTAAAAAAAAAAAAATTTTTTTTTAAAGTAATACATGTTCATTAAAGAAACCCCCACATAATAAATAAATAGTACAGAAGTATGTTCAGTGAAAATGAAGAAGAAAAGGTACAAATGAGCTCTTTCTGTCCTGCCTTTTGAATCCCACTCCCCAAGGACACTACAAATAATAGCTTCAAGTGTGTTTTTCCCCCACCCATATTCTGTGTATATATAAATATATATGAGAATATGGGCTTCCTCACATAAGTTGGCTCATGTCGTACATATTAGTCTGCAAATTTCTTTTTTTTCAGGTTTATCTCTTTTTCTGAAGTGCCTGCAGAGGATATACTGTATTTCAGGCAGTCAGCTCCCCACCGATGGACATTAGGTTGTTTATAGTCGTTTTATTTGCTATCATAAATAATGCAGCAAAGAATGTCCCAGAACATCCACATCCACTATTGTTTGCTTGCATGGATGAACACCCAGCAATGGCATTGCTCTATCAAGGAGGGCGTGGGTTTAGAATCCTGAAATATCACCAAATTGCCTCCCTCAGAGAGCATACTCATCTCAGTCCCCACACCATTCCTGACAGTGGGGATTAGCAGCCTTTTGCAGCGTTGATAACCTGATAGGTTAAAAAAACAAACAAACAAAAAACCCCAAAACCAAAAAAAAAAAAAAACCAAACAGAAAAACCCCAAACAAACCCCAAAAGGTATCTTATTGCTGCTTTCATCTGCATTTCTTTATTTGGAAGCTCTTAAAGAATTTGGGCTCCCTCCCAGCCAACTGAGTCCGAATCTCCAGGGATGGTACCCAGAATCTGTAGTTTCTAAAGTCTCCCTAAAGGATTCTGATGAGCATCTGGGCTTGGAAATACTACCTTAGTGCCTACAGGTAACATTGAGCTGTCGGCTGAACTCGCGTCACAGATGTGCAGAGAAAAATGTAACTTCTTTTCTACAAGTAGTCTGGCCTCTTGGCTGAGCCCCTCTGACAGGCCGGTGGGAACAGAGGTTAAATATTTGATCATTTCAACAGGTACTGTCTTTGTTGGCAAAAACATGCTGTGTTCAAGATGGCCAGCCCTCTCCTGCTTCTCTTCCTCGGATGGAGTCTGGGTCTTCGAGGGGAGGGTCTGGCTTTAGCAACTCTCGAGAGTGTGTGTTTGTGTATGTTGGGGGGTGTTGGGACTCTATCTTAGCCGCCTGATGCCGTATTTCAGCCTTGATTATGCCCCATGGGAATCAAGCCCAGGGAAGTCCAACCTCAGAGCCTCCCTCTGCCGTCCGCACTTTCCTGCCGAGTCAATGTTGGTGCACCCTGAGAGGGGAGCAGGCCCGTGGGTAGATGCTGGTCTCACTATGCACCTTGACCCCTCCAGGTTTAGACCAGGAGAAAGACCTGGACATCAGACCCTGTGGTTCTCCTCCCTCTTCTGACTTCTCCCCCGTTCCCCGGGTCAGAAAGAGTGGTGCTTTCATTTAACTCTTCTTCCTTCTACCAGGCCCTTGCTGAAATAAACATTCTTTTCAATGCTTTCTTACCTAGCAAAGATTTGTCAACTGTGACCGCCTGCTGGGAACGCCGCGGTGGGCATCACAGATGTGTGCTGCCCTCACATCTGTACATCCCGCGGGGAGAGGCCATGAGCAAATATACACCATGTATGTGTGTATGATGTCGGTGGCTCTGAAGAATGAAGCCGGCGAAGGCCGTGGGATGGAGTGGCAGCGGGTGGGAGTGATAAACTGTGTTTCTGTGATCTGAATCCCTGAGTAAGTGATCATTTAAACTCAGGGAGTGATGCCAGACCGTGCTGTCTGGGAGACGTGGATTCACACCTGCATCACTCCGACCGTGTTCCCGGGGACTAGAAGAGTAACTGATGTGAGGGGGATGTTCAATATGTTTAAAAAAAAACCGGATGAATAAATAAAAGAAAGGATGCCGGGTTTAGCTACTTCGGGCTTTGCACATTTCTAATGCTTTGCCCTTTCTTTGCTCACATCACATTGCATTTCCCATTTTCACCACGGGCCACAACACAACGTTCTTTGTCAGAGACAGCGCACTGGTAATTTCGTGCAGAATTGAGCAAAGAAACATGGAGAGGGAGAACAAGCGAGGGGGGTTATTCTGACTTTACAGAAATTCACAGGCGAAGATAAAGGGCTCTATCCGTTCATACATGTTCCACTTTCACTAACGCTTCTTGTCTTTGCAAACGTAAGATAACAGCTCTCAAAATCAAGTACAACCCTTTTGCCAAAGCCTTCTTGGATGCCAAGGAAAGGTGAGTAGAGAAATTTCAGTAAAATCTTATGAGTTGACTTCTGCAAATGTGAAATTTATGCTCATCTTGAAAGGAGCTTGCATTAGCTTTGATAGAAATAGGTTGGTAACATTCAATTCTATATTCAACAAAATCAACAAAATTCAATGAACTCCTAATCATCTGTCCCTCGGAACAGAGCTCCAGGAGAACCTCTAACTGGCAATGTTTGCTCAGCTCTGTTTTACTACTGGTTCTTGAAAGTAACACAGGCACATGCAAAAGAAATAATGAAGTGATTTAGATTTTTAATAATTCACTCTGCCCTTCCTCCTCAATTCTGAGTAGTATGGTTTCAATAATGTTTTTTTAAACTACATGTAGTCCAGGAAAGGGAGTGATTCAGATGAGTAGTTCATAAAGATGAGAGCTTCATATCTTTCAGGTCCAAGAGAAGACCATTCAGAGACTTCTGGGGATCGCTTCTTGGCCTTTTGGCTAAGATCAAGTGTAGTATCCGTTCTTATCAGTTTAGAGACTTCTGGGATGGTGAATGGTAATGCTACCACTTGAGGCTAGTGATTCTACATCTTCGTGTTTTTCTTTTCCATTCTTGGAAAAAAAAGAACATTGGTACTTAATTGACTTCAATTGACAGACTTTGTCTGTCCTGTTAATATTTGATTTAATTTAATTTCAGATAACTAAGAGCCTGAGGAAAATCTCATGTGTGAGATGAACAGGACTTTTAGTAGGTGGTCCTGACTTGGAGTTTGGAGTCCTGACCTTGCCGTTTCCTGGCTGTTGGATCTTACATAAGTCACGTTGCCTCTCTGAAACCCACTTTTTAACATCTGCAAAGTGGGCATAGCAATATTTTCCTTGCGGGATTATTGGGGGATCTAGCATATCACAGATGTGCTCATGCCCCGAAGTCCTACGCAAATCCCAGCTGCTGTTATTGCTTGAATTTCGTCAGGCAGGACCAATGACCACAAACCAGTGAGATCATACTAAGTAGGGATAGCTGTAAATACGGCAAATTGGAGTAACATTAGGTTGCAATTCAAAGAGGAATTGCACATTAGATAAAATACCCTGGATGAAGAAGGGGGGAAAGATCTGAGACAAAAGGTGTTTGATTTTCTTATTCCAAGAAATGTATTGCTTTCCAAAGAGAATTTGGGGTAGATTTTCTGCTGGACTTGTATAATATGCTGGACAGCCAGGGCGCCCTTTCGCTCTCTTTCAGGAATCACCTCAAAGACGTTCCGGAAGCCGTCTCTGAGAGCCAGCACGTGGCCTACTCTCACCGTGAGTTGGGCGAACACTGGGTGGGATGTGCCTGGGGGGCACTGGGACCCATTGCCCACCACACTCAGACGCTACCTGTCACGAGTGCTCATGGCCTGTTCCAGAGCTTCTCTCAAGACTCAACAGGTTATTTCTTCCACTCGAGACAAGTGTATGCCCTTTCCAGAATTCCCAGAGAGAACTGGTGCTCCTGAAGGGCTGGACGGAATCTCAGGTGGGAGATAGGAACGGGAGTGATGGATTTCTCAGACTGGCATGTTCTTGTCCCAGAGGCTAAGGACTGTCCCAAGTGCATTCTGGGAGTATCTCCTACCTCTCCACTCTCCCCTCTTGGCGGTCTGGCCTGGGTTGCCCCTGTTCTTAGTGTTTGCTCATTTTCGAGTAGGTTCCCACCACAATGCTTCAGGCAGGCTGTGGCCTTGCCCGTGGGGAGGAGTATGGTGGCTGACTGGACAGCCCCAGGTGAGGTGAGTGATAGGCCGCTGGGGACTCTGCAGGTGCTGGGTGTCCCTAACAGGGCGCCGGGCTCCCCGTGTCTGGATGGCAGGGGAGGCCCCGTGAGGGAGGAGGTCCCCTGAAGCTGCAGTAGAAACCCGGGCCAGTGAGGTCAGGGCGGAAGGTTAACCCCGGAGTCGGAGAAGCGTGACTGAGAATCCTAGTGGTCCGTTCAGGTGCTCTGCCGCTGTCAGGCTCTGGGGTTCTCTCCTCGCTGCTTCTCCTAAGCCTTTGTGCATGTTCTGGGGAGGAGCCGAAAGGGAGCAGCTTACAGGAAAGCACTTTTTATTTTTATTTATTTTTATTATTTTTATTATTTTTTTAAAGATTTTATTTATTTATTTGACAGAGAGAGAGATAGCGAGAGCAGGAACACAAGCAGGGGGAGTGGGAGAGGGAGAAGCAGGCTCCCCGCAGAGCAGGGAGCCCGATGCAGGGCTCGATCCCAGGACCCTGGGATCATGACCTGAGCCGAAGGCAGACGCTTAACGACTGAGCCACCCAGGCGCCCCTGGGAAAGCACTTTTTAAAGCGAGCTGGAGAAACAAGCTTTTTGTAATAGTACCGGCCCCGTGGGCAGAACCGCATCTTTATTAAGGTCACGCGTTGCAGTCTTCTCCTCGAACGTCTTCGGGTGTGTCCATTACTTGTGGTGAGCCAAGTGCGCCGGAGCCTGGTTCCGGGCGCCCCCAGGCCTGGCTTTGTCCACTGGACATCAAGACCATTTTCTTTTTCTTTCTTTCTTTCTTTCTTTTCTTTCTTTTCTTTCTTTTCTTTCTTTTCTTTCTTTTCTTTCTTTTCTTTCTTTCTTTCTTTTCTTTCTTTCTTTCTTTCTTTCTTTCTTTCTTTCTTTCTTTCTTTCTTTCTTTCTTTCTTTCTTTCTCTTCCTTTCTTCCTTTCTTTCCAATTTGGATGCCTTTTCTTTCTTTCTGTTTCTTGTCTGTCTTTTTCATTCAAAAACCAATCTCTGTGAAATGTTTTATAGCCTTCCAGAATGTTCTGCGTGATTCTTGCGTCAGGGTGTGCCAGCCAGCTCCCCACTTTTTGCTTCCAGAATCCTCTGTGGGGTGGTGAGGGGAGCCACCGTGGCCCCTCTTGCTGGGAGTGAGAAAGCAGACACCTTCCCATGGGGCAGAAAGAGACCTTCACTCGCGTGTAGGCACACTAAACATTCCCGAGTAGCTGGAGAGGACACATACATCCAACATCCCCTTCTCAGACTGACTTTAATTTAACTCAAGTAAGTCAGAAGCAACTTAACCTTTGCATTTCTGTAACTTACTCATTAAAGGGCCTTTCATTATATGGCTCCGTTCCAGCATTCCTCAAGAGGCTTTCCAAACTTTGATAGGAACTGCCATCCTTGTGCTAAGCAGCCAGGGAAGCTGCTCACATGGAAGGGGAGCGGCAGCGGGGCTGGCCTCCGTCTCTCCGGGGCAGACGTTCAGAGTCGCTCACACAGAGACGTGGTATGCCAAGTGGCTGGGGACCTGACGTCTGGTGTGGAAGCTCAGGGTTGGTCCCTGTGTCTTCCTCTTGTCTCTTCCAGTGGGAGGCTGGATCTTTTCCAATCCGGATGGAGTGTGCGCAGCAGGAAACGCCAATTACCAGTATGCTACCCCCTTACCTCTGTCTGCTCCCCACTCCCACCATGGCTGTGAGCGCTATCCTGGCCTCCGAGGGCACCGGCAGGCTCCCTACCCTTCTGCCTACATGCATAGAAACCATTCTCCCTCAGGTGTGTGGTTTTGCTAATTAAGCCCTTGGGGGTGTGGGTGGGGGGTCGTGGGGGTGGCGATGTGGAGAAATGGTCAATAGCTAGTAGTAAAAAGAAGTGTCTGAAGATGGCATCCCTTTCATCTAATACATGTAATAGTATTATATATTATTATTTTAAGGTTTTGTTTTATATACTAATAGTTGATTATGTAATTATGACATTGTTTGTGTCTTATAATTATTTCATAAGGCAGTCTCCTGGTTTCTATTGGGCGTGTAGGGCCTCCACCCAGGGCGCCGGTGGACTCAGCTTTTCAAGCTGCATCTCTAAGAGCCAAGTTTTGGGGGCTCTGGGATCCTCAGCTCACTGCCTTCCCGTGGCTCTTTTCTACCACTCGTATTCCATGGCTCCATCGGGACCCCCTAAGCTCTGTCTGCAGAGGGTCACCAGCTGCCTGTCTATGTCCCTTCACATGCCGCCCCCAGCAACCTTGGAAGCTGCTGCCAGGAAGGAATAAAATGGAGCTTAATGATACCAGAAAGTGGGCAACGTTCCCACTGCGTCCTGGTTCCTTCGTGTGGTCAGCACATAAAACACAGCTTCTGAGCCCCTGCTAGGTGCCAGGCCCTCTTCTAGATGGTGGGGATAGGAAGGTGAGGAAGGTACAGTTTCTCCTCTGAAGAAGCTCAGGGCTACACGAATACATAAATAACAAATCATAACACAGTGTAGCCAGAGCTCTCCTGTGGGTCCTCAGACCTGTGGCATCACCTGGGAACTTGTTAGAAATGTAGCCTCTTGGGTTCTCCTTCTGAAAGAGTCCACATTTTAACAAGATCCCTAGGTGATTCTCGTGCACATTAAAGTTCGAGAATCGTTCCATGAAACACACAAGCCAAGGTGCTGTGGGAATGAAGGAAAAAGAGCAGCCTGAGCTGCCCAGGGGGGTTGACGCTTAGGTTGAGATTTGCAGGATGAAGAGAAGGGGACAGAGGTGGGAGTGGGCGGGAGTGAAGGTGGATGGCAAGGGACCCAGGAGAGGCGAAGGGCACTCCAGGGAAGAGTGGTTTGAGCAAAGGCATAACGGGGAGAGGACCTGGGGTGTCTGGGGGACGGATTTGGAACAGAGGGTAGCAGGAGAGGTGGAAGACCAGAGCTGAGGCTGAAGAAGTTGCAGAGGCCAGCCAGGCGTATATGCCGGAATCTTCTTCCTCGCTCTTCTCTTTCTCCCTCCTTCCTCTCTCTTATTATACACTATTTTTGCAAATGGAGATTCAAAGACATAGAAGACACTATTCTTTTTTTTTTTTTTTAAAGATTTTATTTATTTATTTGACAGAGAAAGACACAGCGAAAGAGGGAACACAAGCAGAGGGAGTGGGAGAGGGAGAAGCAGGCTTCCTGCGGAGCAGGGAGCCTGATGCAGGGCTCGATCCCAGGACCCTGGGATCATGACCTGAGCTGAAGGCAGACGCTTGACGACTGAGCCACTCAGGCGCCCCAGAAGACACTATTCTTGAGATGTTTCCATTTACTTGGGGTTGCTGAGTAGAATAAGGTGCCGCTCCTCAGAAATCTCATCGGGGGCACTGGCGGGCCCTTGGGGTTGTGTTCAGGGGGTGCTGACACAGTCCGTTCTTACAGGGGAGTGAGTGTGGTACTGTGAGTCAGACAGATCTGCATCATAAAGGGCAGATCGTCCCACCTCTCCGAGCCTCATCTATAAAGTGGAGAGGACAGGTCGTTGTTGTGAAGATCAAAATATGAACGGCATGTGGCATATGGTTGACATTCGGTATATCTGAGAGCCTCCGTCTTTTCTGTTTCCCTCAGAAAGTACTAACAAACCGTGGGTACATGTTGCCCTAAAATGGTATCATTGGCCACCGTCTTTGTATGTTCTATGTGCTTCATCAACTGAACTGTTGTTATTTCCCCAAAGTGAATTTGATAGAAAGCTCCAGCAATAACCTGCAAGTTTTCTCTGGAGCTGACAGCTGGACTTCCTTGTCTTCCACCCCGCACACCAGCATCCTGTCCGTACCCCACACCAGCGGGCCAATCAATCCAGGGCCCAGGTAAGACCAACACCAGCAACTTGCTCATTGGTGGTCTTGGCGGTTGACGTGAGCACTGGAGACTCAAGCTCATTCTTTTCGCTAGGGTGGCTTGGGTTAAGCCATTGTCCTGACTTCTAAGCCACTAGGAAGTGAGGGTAACAACAGGATGGACTTTTCTTTTCTTTTCTTTTTTTTTTTTTAAAGATTTTATTTATTTATTTATTTGACAGAGAGAGAGTGAGAGAGCACAAGCGGGGGTGGGGTGGGGGGGAACAGCAGAGGAAGAGGGAGAAGCAGGCTTCCCGCTGAGCAGGGAGCCCGATGTGGGGCTCGATCCCAGGACCCTGGGATCATGACTGGAGCCGAAGGCAGACGCTTAACAACTGAGCCACCCAGGCGCCCAGGATGGACTTTTCTCTCCCAGAGAGCAGGGAGGGGAAAGCACTTGCTCAGCTGTATGCTCTTTCTTCTGTAGCTTTGGTATTCTATTTTTAAAAGGGAAAAGACATTATGGCCTGCAATCGTTTGTTCTGAACCAGTCAGAAATATTGTAAACTGTGATGGTAGCAGACAGATACTGACTGTAGGAGGATTGAAGGAATAAGTGTAAATAGACATTGAGAATTCAAGATGCTGGGTTGTCTGTGTTCTCATAAGCCACCCGTCCTAACAGGGGGACAGAGTGTGGGTGCCTGGCCCACAACCCAGGTAATAAGCAGAGTGTAGCATGTAGGACCCATGGCATAACGTGCACACCAGAGACCTGAGTTTCGTTCTGACTTCTGGAAAAGAGTGTGGGGGAGAGGACAGGGAGGGACCTTGGAGCTTGATGGACTGGGCTTTAGTCCCGGTTCTATCTCTTACTGACTTTGTGCCTTCATGCAGTTTTCTTGGCCTCACTGAGCTCCAGCTTTTTAATCGCAAAAATGGAAATAATAGAAGCTACTCTGTAGGTTGTGGTGAGCACAGAAGGAGAAAATGCATTAAAATGCTTTGTGAGCAGTAACGTTCTATATAAATGTCAGCTGTTAAGTTCAACATAGGTATGCAGAATTTTGAGAAGGTCCAAAAAGGGATTCAAAATTAAAAGCTGGGTCTTGGGAGATGTCCGATGATGTGTGATCTGCCCGTCTAGAAAACGTTAGGAGATCATAGCGTTTTGGGCTACAGCAGGCCTGCTCACACTTACACGTGTGTTAGAATCACCTGGGATATTGTTAAAATGCACAATCTGATGAACAGGTCTGGGTTGGAGCCTGCGATTCTGCCTTTTAACAAGCTTGTGGGTGTTGCTGTACGCTTGACCTTGGTGGTTTTGATACTGATGCTGCGGTGGCAGTCAGGGTCTCGCGCCGTGCTGCCCCACGCAGCCTCCACCGGCCGCTGGTGGCCACTGAGCCCTCGAAATGCCGCGGGTCCCAGTGGCGGTGTGCTGGGAGTGAGGCGCACACACAGGCTTGGAGATGTAGCGGGAAACAAAGAATAAAAATCTCAACTTTTTTTTTTTACCTCAAATGCATGTTGAAATGATGATATTTTAAATATTTTTGGTTCCATAAAATATAATTAGCCTTAAGTCTCGTTTTTCTTTTTCCTTTTTTCTTTCTTTTTCTTTCTCTCTCTTTCTTTCTTTCTCTCTCTCTCTCCTTCCTTCCTTCCTTCCTTCCTTTCTTTCTCTCTTTCTTTTTCTTTCTTTCTTTCTCTCTCTCTCTCCTTCCTTCCTTCCTTTCTCTCTCCTTTCTTTCTTTCTCTCTTTTTTCTTTCTTTCTCTCTTTCTTTTTCTTTCTTTCTCTCTCTCCTTCCTTTCTCTCTCTTCTTTCTTTCTTTCTTTCTTTCTTTCTTTCTTTCTTTCTTTCTTTCTTTCTTTCGTCTCTCTCCTTCCTTTCTCTCTCTTCTTTCTTTCTTTCTTTCTTTCTTTCTTTCTTTCTTTCTTTCTTTCTTTCTTTCGTCTCTCTCCTTCCTTTCTCTCTCTTCTTTCTTTCTCTTTCTTTCTTTCTTTCTTTCTTTCTTTCTTTCTTTCTTTCTTTCTTTCGTCTCTCTCCTTCCTTTCTCTCTCTTCTTTCTTTCTTTCTTTCTTTCTTTCTTTGTCTCTCTCCTTTCTTTCTTTCTTTCTTTCTTTCTTTCTTTCTTTCTTTCTTTCTTTCTTCTCTCTTCTTTCTTTCTTCCTTTCTCTCTCTTCTTTCTTTCTTTCTTTCTTTCTTTCTTTCTTTCTTTCTTTCTTTCTTTTTTTCTTTCTTTTCTTTCATGTGGCTACTAGAAAATTCAGCCTTGCTGTTGTGGCTCACATTTTATATCTATTGGGCAGTGCTCAACTGGATTATCTAAGGGAAAAGCGTGGATTTGGGTTGTGGTAGGAAGGGAGACAGTGAGTCCTTGAAGATATTAAATAATCGTGTGGCAGGTTCTGTCCTAGATACTTTATGCAAGTAATTTATAGTATCAAAGACATCCACAAGGCTGGCGTTAAAATTCCTATTTTACTGTTGGAGAGACTAAAGCTCAGAAGCATTAAAAACGTCCTGAAGGTCACGCAGTCAGAGGTATAACTGAGTGCATGGTTTTCCCACCGGCCCGGGAGGCATCAGGAAGGGGTCCTGCCCTGAGCGATGTTGTGGAAGCGTCTCTTCTGGAGATCAGGCCCCAAATCTCGGCAAGCCGAGCTGCCTAACACCCAAACACACAACAAGCAAACACTCAGAGCCTGGCCTTCCGTGGGTTTCCTCTGGCCCAGTGAGGTCTGTAGTCTCTGGACTAGGGCACAGAGTGCAGGTGGCATTTCTCCCTCTCGTTCCCTCAGTAGCATGTTTAACCCACTACTGACTCCATAAAGATTCTGCTAGAGAATAGCCCAGGACCGTCACCGCGTAATGAGCCTATTTGCACGCAGTGCAGTATGAGAAGATGCAGAGACTCTAAAATGTCAGGACCTAGGGATGGCCGAAGGCTTAGAGCATGGGTGTTTATCCCACCTGTTCCAAGAGCAGGCATGTTCGTCTGTGTTCGGGTGCAAATATTGCTGCCCATTATGATACACTGGAAAGCTTTTAAAAATCCTGATCCCTGGGGCTGCATGCCAGACTGGTTGAGTCAGGATCCGTGGCAGCAGGACCCAGGCATCAGTATTATTTTGGAACTTGCTCAGGGGTTCCAATGTGCAGCCAGGTCTGTGAACCAGGGCTTTAGAATAAGAGAAGTCCCACGAGGAGGTCTCGCTCCCCAGCCTTTCTGCCAGGGACCAGAGCTGTTGGGTGGAGACCAGGAATGGAAGAGTTCATTATAACCACCGCCCTTTGGTGAGTGCCGTGTGCTAGGCACCATCTGCTCATCTTCTTCTTCAATCGTCACAACAACATCTGTAACGTGTGCATAATTATCACCCTGAGTCTTGAAGATGAGGAAGCTGAGACTCAGAGATGTGAATTGGACCAAGGTCACGGAGGAGTAAGTGGTGGAGCTGGGATGCAAACCCGCTTTTCCCGACACCTGTGTGTCCTGGCTGCTGCACCACGTCAGTTCTCTTGCCAGTGAGCGGTCCTCCCTGCAGGCCTTGCCGTCCAGATCCCCCCCCGTTGCTCTCCTGCCCACCCACGCAGCTGCAGGGCAGGCCTCCAGAAATGAAATGCTGTGTTCAAAATCAAACTTGCCAGTGGCAGGGCCAAGCGTGGAAATTCAGGTCAGGACGCCTAATTATATGCTTATTGCACTGCATTTCCCTGCTCGCCTCAGCTTCCCCACAGGCACAGGGCTATTCTGTGTCAGAGCTAGAAAGAAAGCCGTGGCTGGGCACCCTCTTCCTGGACCTGGGCCCTCTCGCACCGTGTATGTGCCGGGCAGCTGGCCGGCCTTTCTGGAAGCGTCCTCAAGCATTCTGTGTCTCTGTCTCTGCAGCCCCTACCCATGCCTGTGGACCATCAGCAACAGCGGCGGGGGCCCGGCCGGGCCTGGCCCCGACGTGCACACCAGCTCCCCAGGAGCATTTCTTCTGGGGAGTCCAGCTGTGACTTCGCCCCTCTCTGCCCAGGCACCCACTTCGGCGGGTGTGGAGGTTCTGGGGGAGCCCTCGCTGACCAGCATCGCCGTGTCCACCTGGACAGCAGTGGCCTCACATCCCTTCTCAGGCTGGGGTGGCCCAGGTGGGGGAGGGCGCCATTCTCCCTCCTCCCTGGATAGCTAGGCAGGATCCTAGGGAAGGTGTCAGCGGAGAACCTTGTCTGTATAGAGCATTTAGAAACCCCATCTACTGATTCTAGGGAGTTAGACTGCAGGGTCTCCCCACCCAGCGAGCTAGAGGGTGGGGTGGGTAACGGGAGGTGGTTTAGTTTGGTGATGCTCCCTGGTTTCTTTTCGCACTCCCATTTTCTCTGCAGCTCATCCATGACATGCTTAGGTCACCAGGGTTCAAGGACTACCTTCCTTGGCCCTGCCCCTTACTTTCAAATGATTCTAGAAGGCCCCGCTTCCTGTTCTATGGAGGTGATGCAAAGCTGTTAAGTGAGCTCCGAATTTACCTGGACTAAGGCTTCCTAGCCTTGTGCAGCCCTGGAAAGTATCTGTGGCCCCAGGGCTTCTGCTTTGAGACCAAGAGAGGGTGTAAGTCCCCAGAGTGAAGTTATCAACAGTAGCCCTAATCATGTATTATAGCCATGTACCTGGAATTGAGGAAATGAGGTCATGTCCTCCCTTGCTCAGAAACCTTCCATGGCTCACCATTGCCTACAGAATGAAGTCAGACATCCTGACCATAAGGACACCCCCTACCATCTAGCCTCAAACCATGTTTCCAACTTCAGTTCCCTTCATTATCCCATTAGCAGCCTATGTTTCGGTCAAGGCAGACATTCAGCATACTTTCCCCCCCTCTACGCCTTCCCTGGGCCTGAAACATCCTTCTCTGGTCAGTCCCACCTGTGTGAATCCTGCTTGTCCCCAGGGGACTGGCCGAAGCGCCACTGCCTGCATCCAACACCTGACCGGCCTCGGCACGTGGGACCTTGCTCGGCTGCCTGCCGTCCCAGGGGCTTTGCCTCTGTGCGAGAGCTCGTCCCATTCTGCCTTGTATTTTTGTTTACCTGTGAGTGTGTCTCTTTCCCACTAGACTGTGAGCCCCTTGAGGGTGAGGACTAGCCTTGTTGTCTTTGTACCCTGCAGCACCTGGTACTGCCTTGTCTATAGTAGGTGCCCAATAAACTGACCGAGTGCAATTGGTGTGTAGAGCACGTGTGCTAAAAACGAGAGCCGTGGGGCCCCCTGTGAGGCAGAGCTGGAGACACGCATCTGGGACACACTAGTATGTCAGTGTTGGGAGCCCAGAACATGCTGGGTGCTCCCCCTGGGCTCCCTGTCTGAGCCATAGCCCATCTGCAGCGATTGATGCCATGGAAACAGTGTGGGCTGGAGTGGTTACTTCCAAATATTGGTCCTTGGATCCCCTGTGCCAGGATGACCAGGAGCACCTGTTAGAAACACAGATTCCTGGGTACACTCCATCCCTACTGGATCAGAATCTTTAGGGCTGGAGCCCAGGAATCTGCATGTCAACAAGTGCTCCAGACAACAGTCGCAGAGCCAAGTTTGGAACCGACTTGCCTAGAATAGAGAAATAGAGTGATAAATCTTGCAGGAACCTCATTTCAGGTAAGAGTTTTGACCTCCGCCCTGGCCAAGGTTGTTGCTACAGCAAGAATGGAGCCAGTGAGCAAAGTCGCTGGTCCTTGGTTTGCCTTTTTCCTTTTCTACCACTGCGGGATGCGCTGCTAACTACGGGAGTGAGGTTTCCAGACCGGTGTGATGCATTGCTCTCCCAGACCGTTATCAATCACCCTGCGCCAACGGAGTGCTCACGTGGGGTGTCCCTGAGGCAGTGGAAGAAGGTTCTGCTCAGACCCTGCTCCCACCTCTGTTCTATCAGCTGAGCCCATGCAAGCCCACCACACGCCAAGCCTTAGTCTGGGGTGTCCAGACATGACGCTATTGAGTGCTTGGCTCTTTCTACAGGGAACGGGCCTTCACCACTCTGTGGTTAGCACTGCCCGATCTTTCCGTGCCATTCCATTTTTGGACTCGGCTCTCTGGAAACAATGCCCCTCCAGCCACATGGTGTCCCGGGAAGCCACTTTATGCTCTCAGGGCAGCCTGCCCAGTGCTCCAGGTCCCTAATTGATGTATGAGTGACTGAGGCCCCAAGTACCAACACGGCTGCTCTTTGAAAAGCTGCCTGCTCAGCACGTCCCTGAGGCAGGAGTGTTTTTGGTCCCCTAGTTCCCCTGTGACAGTGTAAGAGGCCATTAAGATATTAATATATTAGCATCTCTGCAAGATGCTATTTTGGTAAGTTTTAAAAAGTGGCCATTTCTCATTCCGTTAGAAGTTTAGGCTACGGCAGCCTCCAGCTGCCCAGCAGGCCTGGCCCAGGCTCTGCCCTGGTCACCAAAGCCGTCGGTCATGCAGCCGGAGCTCAGCAAGCAGAATTAGGTCCATGAACCTGTCTCTGGTCTTGCCCTTTCTGCCCCCCTTCCCCCAGCCTGGAGCGGACGGGAAACTTGGCCCAGGTCAGAGGGCAGAAAGAAGCTGATAACCTTCTTCTTTTCTAATCCATCTTGCTCGGGGGATTGGGTCCTCTGTACAGCGACAGCATAAATGTTAGCTGAGTTTTGGGTGATTGTGTCTCATCAGCCTGGACCCTGCCTTGATTTTTGAACAGGTGACACGATGCCTGGCTCTGCATAGAGGGTCTCCGTTTGCGTGGTGTCAGCCGTGCAACCAGAGCGATATGCTTTCTGGAGGTTTCTCCAGATAGTCTAATTTCTGATTGGGAGAACAACCCTTGGTTGCTTAAGTCATTTTAATGAATGGCAGAGTCTCTGATGTACCAGACAAACTTTAGAGCCTTTAATACCCCTTCCTTGCCCAGGCACCCTCTTCACCCAGCTCATTATAAAACAACAGTGATGGCACTTCAGAGATTTAGGCCTGTCACACTGAATTTAAGAGAAACCTAAATCCCACTGGAATAGGGGCGCCTGGGTGGCTCAGTCATTTGAGGGTCTGACTCTTGGTTTCTGCTCAGGTTGTGATCTCAGGGTCGTGAGACTGAGCCCCACGTCGGGCCCTAAGCTCAGCGAAGAGTCTGCTGGAGATTCTCTCCCTCTCCCTCTGCCCCTTCCCCCTGCATTCTCTCTCTCTCAAATAAATACATAACTCTTTAAAAAAATCCCATTGGAATAAAGAGTTAATACAATTCTTTTAGCAAAGCCTGGTCTGTGGAGGTGTCTCCCCTTGTGGGGCCTTTGTTTGGTCTGCGTGACCTCACCAGCCCTCGCTGCTCCAGGTAAGTCAGAGCCTTGTCACCAAACACCTCAGCCCACCGTACCTAGGCCAGGTGCTTCCAGGTGCTTCCTGACACTCAGTGGGCACCTCCTAGGGCTGGGAAGAAGGACGTAATAGGAGGAGAGTGAAAAATCTATGGTTAAGGTTAATTAATTGAATTTAAATAAAAAAAGAACAAAATGGGTAAATAAACATGGTATAATTTAAATAATGCAATATTATACGTAATAATGATTGATCACTTGCTACACAAAATAGAATGGAGGAAGTTTAAAAACATAATATTATAAACAATATTGCAAATGTAGTACCACAAACATAAGAGACAAGATACAAAAATTACATACTGTTTGATTTAAATTTCATAAATTTTTAAAACTTACATACCATTCTATAATATTAGAAAACAGAGTAATGGTTATTTTTGGAACTGAGTAGAGACAGGAAGGTGAATAAAAAGGGATTCTCTTGTGATTCCTCTTCAGTTACATTTCTTGACCTATATATTGGTTTTACATGTATGTTCAGTTTGTGAAAACTTATTTATCTGCACAGTAAGATTTGTAAACTTTTTTCTATATATTGAACATCAATAAAAAGTTAAAATATAGGGCGCCTGGGTGGCTCAGTTGGTTAAGCGACTGCCTTTGGCTCAGGTCATGATCCTGGAGTCCCGGGATCGAGTCCCGCATCGGGCTCCCTGCTCAGCAGGGAGTCTGCTTCTCCCTCTCCCGCTCCCCCCTCTTGTGCTCTTTCTCTCTCTCACTCTCTCTCTCAAATAAATAAATAAAATCTTTAAAAAAAAAAAAAGTTAAAATATAAAGCAACCATTAACAACTGGGAAAATATTTGCCTTTCCTAATATAGTGGGTATTTTCCTTAATATATAAAATCTATCTATGAATATGTAAGAAAAAACCCACCATCATCATCTTTTTGTTATGAGCATGACGAGTAGAGTTCATAAAGAAGGAAATAAAAATGTCACATAAATACTGGAAAGAAAAAACCCTCAATAAAAGATATTTGAAGCCTAGTAGGTATTTGCCACTTTCCCCCAAGACTGGAATAGATTTGGATGAATATCAGCAAGTTAAAATATCACAATTTTGGAGAATATAAATTCGGTTTTATAAACTGCATGTCAAAGTTGGAGAAGAGCAACTGAAGCATTCCACTGATAACTTGTTTCAACCTCTCCCTTTTATTTTCTTTACCCTTTCCCACCTCACTGAACCCCTTGGTGGCTCCTGGACAGGTTGATAGAGCGAACACGGGCCTCGTGGAACAGAGGTCTGGGTGGGGATACACGGTGCCGAAAAAAGCCTAAGGGAAGAGTTTCTGTTGCCTGGAGATAGCAGATCTTTTCTATCCTTGTTATAGAGACATCTCTGTCTGCCCAGCACCCCAAACTTCTGGGACAAGAATCCCACACCCCCCTTCCCACACTCTTGGGGGAACTGTCTGCCTTCCTCCCACCCTGTAGGTCTTTAGTGGGGGGCCACCATGCTCACATTCCATCCTGCTGTGTTGGTTGGTTTGGGGGTTTCTGACACTCACTACTGGTGTCCCATTAACTACAGGAAGAACAAGCAGCCGAACATGTCAAACACACAGAAGGCTCATTAAGTCCAAGTTTCACTATGTTACAGGCTATGTTAGGCCTGTGGAAATGCACCAAAAATGCCTTCAAAATGGAGGAAATGGAGCTGAAACTTGACATTTATTGTGAACAAAATGGAATTGGAAACACCTATTAAGGCAAATGGTTAAAAGCTGTGGCAAGTAGACAGCTTTGTTAGCACACGTGACTAGTCTAGCCTAGAAAAGGGACTGAGATGATCCCTTTAGGTAAAGATTTTCCCATTGGAGGATCCAACATACTGGCTAGATTCCGTGCTAAGCACAAGTCACGGTCTAGTTGGACAAACATCTCTCTCTGATTGACTCGTGGAGACTATCCCCATGCTTGGCTGGGTCCTAGTGGGGACACGCTCATTGTCCCACTGCTCAGCTTGTCTGCCTGGTAATACCACACACATCTTGGTTCTTAGGCTGCTGTTAGGGTCTTGGATCATGAGTACCAAAGTATACAGAAGGGGCTGCAAGGGAAACCCCTGTTCCCATTAGCAGAAGCGAACCCAGATCCTCGTCGGTTGGCAATGGAGGGAGAATGTTCTGTGAGGCGGGGCAATTAGATTTTGCAGCTTTTAGATTCCCGATGAATCTTTCAAATCACCACAGCCTCTGTTGCACTGGGCTCTGGGGCTGGCCCCGGTGTGGACACGTGACCATTCCGCAGTGATACTCAAACCAAGCTGTAACGTCTTTTTTTCTGAAGGCTCAGTGCTTATAGAGGGAAACGAAACATGACAGGTTACATACATCTAGAAAACTTGGTAGAATTCAATCACCTTCCATTTATTGGAGTCTATTTTAAAGATTTTTTATTTGTATTGAGATGTAACATTCAGTAAGTAAACAAATATTAAGTGTATGGCTTGATGAATGTTTACAGATGTATCTACTTATAAAACCCCCAACAAGATCAAGATAGAGAACATTTCCAGCATCCCAGAAAGCTCACCCCCAAGATAAACACTCTTGTGACCACTTTCAGTGTGTATATTAGTTTAACCTGTTCTTGACCTTCATCTAAGTGGAATGCAAAGGGAGGGACCCTTTTGAGTCTGAACACTGTGTCTTTAGTGCCCTGTCTAGCTCCCACCTAACCCTCCATCCTGGAAGATTATCTTTTCATTCATTAGTTGAAATACCCTCAGTAGATAATTAAATTCTTTGATATCCAAACCAAGACATGCCCAGAAGAAAGCAAGCATTTTTCTTCTGTGGCTTCCCACCTTCTCTCTGGATCACTAGCAGAGAGAGTGTCTATCTTCTTTTCGAAGATGCTTACTCTCTCCGTCCCCCCGAATCACAACCACATCCCAACGCAGCATAGTAAATTCAACCCTTGCACATTTCTGGTTGTTGCAAGATTGTTTTGTTACAAGGGTTTTAGAATGCATTTTTGTAGTCCATTCTCTTTTCAGATGAGAAAACATTGGTTTAGCATCGCCCGTGAATGGAATCGATTACAGTATGTGATAGGATTTGAAAGCCAAAGAAAAAGGACCCCCAAAGTATGTATCTTCTGGAGCCTGACCTACTCCAGTTTTTTTTTTTTTTCTAATTTGTGTTTCTTTTGGGTTAAGACAAAACCTCTCTTTTATTATGTAAATATTATCTGTGGTGAATATCTAAGTCAATTTTCTGTTGCTTACAATGCTGTAGGCAATAGAAATTACCTATTATTTAGCTAGTAATTAAATGAGTTCCTGAGAGGACATCAGGTTGAGGGGAAGAGATTATTGATGACTGCATAAAACTTGGCAGGTGTTTGGCAGCCAAGAGACATAAGAGAGCACAGAGTGAGGAGAGAATCACAGGTATGGAAGGTGTGGTGTAGCAATCATTCTCGCCTCTGTTTCCCCTCTTTCTGAAGTTGGTGGTGATGGCAGAGAGGACCCGGGCCACGATTTGAGGATGGAAGAACAAGCTGGAAGGATTCTGAGTTCACCAACCTCTTTGAACCCTCATACCGGTCCCAGAACCTCTTTCTTCTGGGCTTTGTCTACATAAGAAAAAAAAAAATCTATCTTGTTTAAGTCAGTTATTTTTGGTTTTGTGTTATTTGCAGCAGCAAAATCTATTCCTAATTTTTACAATGGCTTGTTATTTAAAAAAATTTTAAAGATACTTACTTTATGTGCTCTTCCTGATTGTTGTATTGTTACCTTGGGTTCCTGGGGACGAATTCTCTAGCTTATTGAGTCTGCTGACTTGTGTTTATGATAAAATTCTTACATGTGTATTTGTGCTTTTGATTGGTTTGAGTTGTGAGAGTGTTTTTTCAAAAAGGTTGACATTTGCTCCTATTTTCTACATCTGGCTCATCCCCAGTTGTTCTGGTTACTATTGCGGCATAACTAACCACCTCTAGCCTAGTGGCATCGAGACAAGCACCATTTATAACGCTTATGGCTTCTGTTGGACAGGAATTCAAAATGCGCAGAACAGAGATGGCTGGTCTCTGCTCCGCAATATCTGGGACCTCAGCTGAGAAGAACCAAAGGCTGGGTGCTGAATCATCTGAAGACTTGTTAATCATGTGTCTGGTGGTTGCTCTGGCTGTCAGCTGGGACCTCAGCTGGAACTGTTGGCTAGAATGCCTGCATATGGCCTCTGCAAATAGCTGCTTAGGCTCACGGCATGGTGGCTGAACATCACTGAACATCCTGAAGAGAACCAGGAAAAAGCTGGCTAAAAGAGTGGTGGTTATAGGGCGCCTGGGTGGCTCAGTCGTTAAGCATCTGCCTTCGGCTCAGGTCATGATCCCAGGGTCCTGGGATCAAGCCCCGCATCGGGATCCTTGCTCAGCGGGAAGCCTGCTTCTCCCTCTCCCACTCACCCTGCTTGTGTTCCTGCTCTCGCTGTCTCTGTCAAATAAATAAATAAAATCTTTAAAAAAAAAAAAAAAGAGTGGTGGTTATAATAAAAACAGCGGTGGCTTCCAGGGACTGGGGGGAGACAGGGATGAATAGGGAGAGCACAGAGGGTTTCTAGGGTGGTGAATAGTATCTTTATAGTATTTTTAGGGCATATAGTATCTGTATAGATACTATAATGATGGATACGTGTCATCCATTTGTCCAACCCATAGAATGTACACCGCCAAGTGTGAACCCTAATGTGAACTGTGGTGTTGGGGCACATATGATATTCAGTGTAGGTTCACTGATGGTAACGACTCTGGTGGGAGAGGCTATGCGTGTGTGAAGACAGTGGGCATACTGGACATCTCTGTAACCTCCTCTCAGTTTTTCTGTGAACCTAAAACTGCTCTAATAACGTCTATTTAGGGGCACCTGGGTGGCTCAGTCAGTTAAGCGTCCGACTGTTGATTTTGGCTCAGGTCATGATCTCAGGGTCATGAAATCGAGCCCTGCATTGGGCTCTGAACTGGGTGTGGAACCTGCTTGGGATTCTCTCTCCCTCTGCCCCTCCTCCCCACCCTCCTCCCTTGGTCATGTGCACACTTTCTCTCTCTCAAAAAAAAAAAAAAATCTAAAAAATTACTGTCTTGCCTTTTATGACCTGGCCTTGAAAGTCATAGCATCCCTTCTGTCCTAGTTCCAACCAATTCAGATTTAAGGAGGAGGGAATGTGAACTCTACCTTTTGATAGTAGGCATGCCAAAGCCATACTGGGAGAAAAGAATGTGATATGGGAAATGTTCTCGTGGCCATTGTTGAAAAAACCCATCTGCCACAGTAGTCCAGTCTTGATTTTAATGTTACTTTTGCAACTTGGGGTTTGCTTGTTCCCAAATGTTGAGCCGGTGCTAAGTCCAGAGTCTCAGATCCAAGGTTTTAGACTAACTGACCTTAAATCCAATGTCTCAGTTCAAAGTTTTAAACTATGAAGGGAGAACTTTTCTCCCACTCAGAGCCCAGACAAAGATGGATAATCTTCCATGTAATTCTTCCAGTGCCAGTTGGTGGACGTTCCCAAGTTCGCTCTTTTATGGACAATGTCACCTTTTGAAGGTCAGGGTTCCTATAACTGCCTCTGTTTTATTTTTTTAGGCCTTTTCTCCCACATTGGATGAAGCTCCCCCAGAACGGCGGCTATATCTCCATCTTTGTATTTCTTTTTTTTTTTAAAGATCTTATTTATTTATTTGACAGAGACACAGTGAGAGAGGGAACACAAGCAGGGGGAGTGGGAGAGGGAGAAGCAGGCCTCCTGCGGAGCAGGGAGCCTGATGCGGGGCTCGATCCCAGGACCCTGGGATTGTGACCTGAGCTGAAGGCAGTCGCTTAACGACTGAGCCACCCAGGCGCCCACATCTTTGTATTTCTAACAATAAACACAAACACCCGTTCTGTTGTAGAGGCTCAACCAGTGTTTCTGAATGGAAATGAACTTCTTTCTTCTATTTTGACCTCATGCTTCTGTCCTTTATTAAGTATCCATTCACTCCTGCTGACGTCATTATTTTATCTTGGAATTTTTTTAAAAAAGTTATTTGTCGTTTAACAACTCCCTGACATTCCTGGAGCTAAAGGCCTGTAGATATCCAATAAATTAATAATGTTATGAGTTTAGCATTTATATGATTCTGTATATTTGCAAAGCAGCAAGCATAAATATTTCAGTGCAATGCACTTAAAAGGTAGCAGGGTAGAAAAGCATCTCCCTAGTTCTGTGCTCCTGTGGGGTGATGTTTCTATTTCTGTTCGACCCACATTCAAAAGAAAATACAAATTCCATACTTCCTCCCTCCAGTGCATATGAAGGTCTGCGTCTTTGTTAAGGACCTGGATGCGGCAGCAGGTAAAACCCTGAATCTCAGTGGTTTTATTCAACAAGACTGTAGCGATCACTCACTTGACCCTCCCACATGGCTTCCCGGTGAGAAGAAGCCATTTTGCTTCACGAGAGGTGTGGATACAGAAAGGAGTGACAAATGCGGGTCATTTTTGTACTCATTCTACTGCAGTGTCTTCCACGTCAAGAGACTTAGGAACAAGGAACGTCCAGTGCCTTGGCATTTTGCCACTGAGGCTTCATCTCTTGCTCTTGGGATCCTATCTTTTCTGTTCCAAGGAAGGGCTTTGCTCTCAACTGCATGGCAGCTACTTCCGACTGCAGGTTTTCATAGGAAATGGCTAAAATGATGACAGGATGTTAACTCCACTTAAAAAATAAAGTCCTGGAAATGAAAAGGAATGGACCTCACACTGTGGCAATTCAGGTGCTCAGAGGTGGCTTGTGACACCTCTGCTTGCAGGCCCTTAAACCCTACGATGGAGATGGCTGGTGTTCCTCTTGTCAGGCTCCTCGGGAGCCTGATGCATCCGAGTGACAACCATAATCGGCTTTCCTAGAGACATCTGGCCCTCTCTCTTGTAGCAACTAGAATCTATTAACAGTTCAATCTTGATAATTTAACCCCAATCCATTACATATGTCCTGTGTTACTGGGAAGAATATTATTTATTTGCCAATTCATTGGCTTGTGGACTTCAGATGCACCTTAATTGGCATGAACCCAACAGAGGATTGGGGCTTTTTGATCTTGAATTGAGGACAGCTTCAGGGCCAGGCCTGAGACAGGGTTCAGTTGAACAAAACACAGTATGCCAACCCCCCAAAAGACAACCAGGAAAACCTGCTGACGAAGCAAAATTGAGTTTATTACTTATTGCAGTAAAGGAGTATAAACCACCTTGACAGAGTTTTAATGGTCTCAGAAGAGAAAGATCAAGGATGGATGTTTATAGAATTTGAGGGTCTGATTTACAGTGGGCATTTCAATGATGATATCTGATTGGGAATGGACAAAGCCCATGATATAACAGTTTAAGTTTGGCAGGAACAGTGACACGAGGCTTTTGAAGCAGGTCTTGATGAATAAATAGTTTAATAAGCAAGTGGTTTGTCTAGTTGCCTGAGAAAGGGACTATTTGAATGATGTATTATTCAGATGCATGGATTTTTAGGACATTTCTGTGTTTTTTAAAAAAGATTTTATTTATTCATTTGACACAGAGAGAGAGAGCACGAGCAGGGGGAGCAGCAGAGGGAGAGGGAGAAGCAGGCTCTCCACTGAGCAGCGAGCCCGATGTGGGGCTTGATCCCAGGACCCTGGGATCATGACCTGAGCTGAAGGCAGATGCTTAACCAACTGAGCCACCCAGGCGCCCTAGGACATTTAAGCAAACAATAATGTAATTTGCTATTTCATCTTTCTGGGAAAGAATATCCTGGAATAGTAAAGTCATGTGAGTGTGGACAGTCTTAGGTCTTCATCGTCTCATGCTGTGGGGTTGTAGGCAGGTTGTTCTCACGGTACATCACAGACATTGAATATTGACTCTGTGCCAAGTCAGGGGCATCTGAATGGAAGAAGGACTGGACAAGTGGATCTGGTAGCGCTGGTCAACAACAGAAGACATCTCTTTAGGTAAGTTGTACAGAATTTTAAAGTAGATGCAAACTAAAAGGAAAGGAAGGTGAAATACCTACGAATACCTCTGATTTCAACTAAACGCGGTACGGTGCACTAAGTGCTCACTGGGCACTGGCCCTGCCAGGCGCGAGTGCTGGTGACCCTGAGCTGAAGCAAACCTGATTCCCGTTCACGGGGAGGGAGACAGGTGCTCTGTGAACAGGCCGGGCGGACCCTGCAGTGGTGTGCACAACGCGGTGAGCACGGAGGCCGCGGCGATGACTTCTGGGGCAGATTTGGAAGCCTTCATCACGCAGGAGCTGATTCTGTGTCTGACGGTAAGATTCATCCCTATTTCTCTAGCCACTAGATGGACATCTCAGCCTGGATATCAGCCATCATGTCGGTCATACATTCTTATCTTTGGAGAAGATGAGAGTGTGTCCCAAAGAGCCAAGCCTTGCCCAAGGGCAGACAGGACTCCTCAAGGAATCTCTGAGAAGGGAATGGAACTTCCACTGGCAGGAGCAGAGGAGTTAGAAAGGGAATGAGATCTGGGCCAGTGCTGTCCCTGAGCAAGCCTTCAAGGACTTACTGTAGCAAGAACCCAATCAGGTAATCTATGTGAAGTGATCTGTGATCAACAGACATTTTTTCACTTACTCTATTTACTACCTTAGATTGTTATTTACCTTTTAATGAGTACCCCATGTCTCTTGGACTGCTCTGTAATCTCTTTATAGATAGGTATCATGTCTCTTTGTGTTTCAGGTGGCCCAGCAGCATGCCCTGCTCATAGAAAGTTTAAACACTTGGGGCCTCTGGATCCAGCTGGAAAGCACTTCTTGGTAGGAGAACCCTCCGCTGGAGAGCCAGGCCCTTTCCCCAGATTTGCTGTCTGCCAATGAGCTTCATGTCATTGGGCAGTTGCTTTAGCCTCAGTGCCATGGGGCTTTGGGATGGTCCCAGCTCTTCTCAGCTGCCAGGCATTGGGCTATGTGAGCCAGCTGCTCATTTGGCTGAGGCTTTTCCATGGTCCAGGATGGATCCTCTTAGCATGGGGCAAAGGGTCAACTTAATATATGGCACTCCAGCGTTCCAAAGGAAAGACAGCCCTGGTCCCCTGCTCCCAAGTGGGATCTATGTAGGTAAATTCAAGACTGAAGCCAAGGCAGGGATCCAGCAAATGGGTCCAGAGACTGCATGGGCA